CTAATGAGCACTAATGAATATTGATGAAAATTGATGAAAATTGATGAAAATTGATGAAAATTGATAAAAATTTTGATTGTTTTGATTATTGTGATTATTTTGATTATTTTGATTATTTTGATTGTTTTGATTATTGTGATTATTTTGATTATTTTTATTATTGTGATTAAGAACATTATTATTGTTGTTATTAATATCGTCATCGTCATTAATAAAATCATCATCATCATTATTGATAATATCATTTTTAATGATATTAGTTTTGTTGCAATTCAAAATTTTCAATTCAACAATACTACTTGTTTTTCCTGGTATGCTAAATTCATCAATTATGGCTTTGTTGTAAGATCGATGAGGATAAGTAAATTCATAACGATTAACATTGGTGATCCACCAATGTAGCTTAATGGCTTGAAAAGCACGAGTAACAGCAATATCTTGAGAAAATACTAAAGCATTTAGTAATCCTAAGAAATAAAGAAATAAAGATTAAATAAGCAAACGATAACAATACTCTTATAATAATAATAGTACTAATAATAATAATCAAAATAATAATGATAATAAATTTTTATAATACCTTGAAGTGACATACCAATGTAGCAAAGTAAAAATAGAGGATAAGAGACTACGTGGTTAACATATGCATAAGTTTCAAAGAAAGAGTTACAAAATTGAGCTACCAATGGCACCACAGGATACCACACGACCCTTCTAACGACAGAAGAAATTAAAGTCTTATTAAGTAAAGTAGGATAACTAGATAACTGAGAAGATGGTATAGAACCGAAAGCACCATCAATCTTTTTGGTTACAGATCTAAGCTTTCCAATGACCATAATAACAACAATAGCGCAGTATAAAATTGATACATCTATCCAACCAAAAAGTGTTGTCCATTGCCATATTATATTATAATGTTGCCCAGAATCACGATACCAACAACTTCTGTAATAGATATTAATATATGAAATAAATATCGCATAAATATATGGTATAAATATATGGTATAAATATATGATATAAATATATGGTATAAATATATGGTATAAATATATGATATAAATATATGGTATAAATATGTGGTATACATATATTTACATATACTTTATATACATACTCTTCGGGTTCATCAAAACCATACATATTAGCGGTTAGAGGAAGGAGTGAAAGTAAAAGGGCAAGAGAAAACGAAAATATAAAATAATATTTTTCAAAATTATAACGAGTTTTATATTCATTTATGAATATTATATGAAGGTTCTAAATTAAAAAATATATATATATATAAGATAACAAAATGGAATTAAAAAAAAGAACGCGGTAAAAATAAAAATATTATAATACATACCAAAGCTATACAAACTATAAAGAATAAAGAAGAAAGACCAAAAAATACGATTGCCCAGACCTTGTATATTAATAAAAAAAAAAAAAAAAAAAGCTAATGAGCACTAATGAATATTGATGAAAATTGATGAAAATTGATGAAAATTGATGAAAATTGATAAAAATTTTGATGAAAATTGATGAAAATGATGATAAAACATCTTACCGTATATCCACATAAAAATCCGGGACTATTCTCCCAAGATAAAACAATTAACAGATGAATAGAATAGCCTATATCGCAGAATAAAGCTGTAAAACTTAACCGAAATGATACTCGATCAGCGAGAGTAGGATAGTATACTCGTATGAACCCAAAGGTTATGCATGAGGTAATAGTAGAAATAAGAGAAATGATATTTAGAGGAACACATGATCTACTTATAGAGGCGAATTGTTCCTTTGTTATTGGAATGATAGAAACCATTAATCATAATGTTTTTGTAGAGTAATAGTTTAAGAAGCTTCGACCAAGAATCGGTTTAAAAATTATATAAATAATTATGTATGTTTGCCATGAAAAGTAAAAAAAGAAAAAAAAAGGAGTGTTATATAAATGGCAAACAATGATAACTACTAATATAATTAACGGATAATTTGCTTATATAAATACAAATATATATGTGTGTGTGTGTGCATTAATATCGATACTGGATCTCATTATGTATTGAGGTTTGTTTTTTTCGTTTAAACCAATAGTTATTAATACACGATCATTCAATAAAAAAAGCTATCCCTGATGAAAATTTATTTATCAAATGCAGTAATACTGTACTCGCATATTCTTAAACTATAATTTTTATAGTAATTAGATGTTTAAAACGTACATTTTTCTTATCTATGCCTATTTTGATACGTTCACAGCGTTGTACCTACATCTAACAATTCGATTGCATATGCATGTACGTACGTAGGACGAAATGACAACATCCGGGTTCCACAGTGTTATAGAAACTTTTAATACGTTAATAATCCTTGGATCAAATCTATAAAACTATAAATTTATATCGATAAGTAAATAAACGTTGCTTAGTTTGGAAATTGAATTTTCGAAATCCTGAATTATGTTTCTATTTTAATTTCTCTTTTGTTCTTTATAAAATTGTTTTGCAGCGCTTATACGATTTTCTTACGATATTCTTGTGAGAAGAATGGATCATTAATTACCAAAATCAATAATTATTTCATTTATACTCGCAATACTTACTCTCAAAAACTTGTGAACATAAAATATCCATGCCTTTTGTTTTTCAATTTAATTTTTGACTTGGTAATATGCATGAAGCACAATTTGTACTCTAAACAATTACTCTAAGTGATTCAAGTAATTGCTCTAAGTGATTTAAGTAATTGCTCTAAGTAATTTAAGTAATTGCTCTAAGTAATTTAAGTAATTACTCTAAGTAATTTAAAGAATTACTCTAAGTAATTATATGTAATAATTATAACTAATGTAACTTTTTTTAGATAAAGTTTGAGATGTAAAACGCTCCTGAGAGGTTGTCTAATGCTACGTTGGTAACGTTCAATAAACGAGTACACTTATCCAAAATGTCAAAGGTTACAAATGCCAAGGGTGTTTAAAATGCTATTAAACCTATCGTTCTTATGAAAATATTCTATCCTAATGCAAATATTTTGACAATTTCCTCATTATCACGTTTCAATGCATAGTTTATCACGTTTCAATGCATAGTTTATCACATGCTAACTTTGTACTACCTTTATATCGTCAATTCATATCCGATCTTTTTGATTAATGCTTTGTTTCAAAGATTTTTGCCTTTCTTGTATTTGTTCAAATTTACATTAACGTTAATGTTAACCAAAAAAAAATCTCGGTAAATTAATCAAATTACTGATTTTTGTAGTACATACTCATCTGCTGTGAATCAAACATCAAATCATATTTGATATGAGTAACGGAAAGGGAAAGGGAAATCTTACAATTGATTATCTTATCATGCACAGCCCCTTTAAAATTGATCTTGCAATGATTAGATTCTATCAAACATGTGTAAAATTGATTATTTTAATTAATCATTGGATGTGCTTTGGTCATCAAATTCTAGAGTTCGCTCATAAGAACATGTGCTTAGGTCGAGGCATGCTCTTCGTGGATAACGTGACCATAAATCGTCGCCTCAAAAAAAATGGTAGCCGGATTTTTTGCTGGCTTACATCAATTTCAAACCTGATTGCCGGTAAAGTTGTGTTTATCATGCTTAAAAAAATTTTTCGTTTTGATTTTCGCTTTGACCTTTCGTCTTGACTTCGACTTTCACTTTACTTTCACTTTGACTTTCACTTTACTTTCACTTTACTTTTACTTTGACTTTCACTTTATTTTCATTTTGACTTTAATATTGAATTCACAAAATAAAGTGCGTCATATCTTTACAAGCAAAAGTACTCATTTAAACAATAAAATACAGTATAATAACTCGAACCAAACATGATAATTAATTACATCACTAAAATTGTATATCCATAATTATTCAGTGCCTCTTATTATTCATGTTAATTTGGATGGTGAGTGTAAAAGAACTTTTAATTAATTAAAATATGTGATTCAAATTTGTGAGCATTTACTTATTTGATTTGCATTAATCTAGCTAATTGAGTGAGTATATATTTGTTCGCATTAATTGTTGCGGATGATCATGAAATCGGATGATGGTGAAATTTAGGGTCTCGATTTTAAGATGTAAACCCTACCAAAATCCACCTATACTCTTTTACTAATAACTACCTCTAAATCCTAACTTAACTATAAAAAAAGCTGACAAAAAAGGCACCCAAAAAATTTTAAAAATCATGCATAAATAGATTCAAATTTCACCATCATCCGATTTCACGATCATCCGTGTCATTAATTTATTAAAGTTCTTTATAAATAACTATCAATACATGGTGATCCTCATATCATTTTGTTTAGTTCCTGTTGTTAAGTAGAAAGATTAAAACTAAGGCGTTTGTACGTCGAAAAATTGTTATCAATGAACTTAAAACACGAGCATTTTGGTCGGAATTACAATTATTACTTTTACAACATCCCAAATGAATCATTTTCAAAAACGACTAAGACGCTTATAATATCCCAACTTATCGGATATTACCTTCCTTATGACCTTATAGGTTGGATCCAAAATTAACGTATTAAGTATTCTGTTTATTCGTATATCAACGGTTAATTTTTCATTATATTATAGTAAATAAGTTACTATACTGACTATGTCATTTTCTTGTCAAAGTTTAAAACTACAGTAATAAACCAATTCCAAAGGCTCCAGCCCTATAAAACGCCGCCGGTTTATTACTAGTATTATTTGAAGGTGCACTTAGACAACGTTATAATGTAGACATTTTAGATAAATCGGAACCATTTAAGACGGCTGGTGGATATGTAGTTTGACTGAATTTATCGTTTTGACTACTTATTTTACTCTATTTTTCATATGGATTACGTGGCAAATAGTCTCTAGTTATAAATCAAGAACGGTTAACTATTATCATGAGTCAGGACCAGGAAATTTTTTCATGACTAAAAAAAATAACACTATGTAACTTGACATTATTACAATTTTACAGCTTGTATTTCTTGTACAGTATAAAGATTTCTTCTGTTTTTATAAATATCAAATTATCAAATACTGAAATTTTAATTTTAATTATTCTGACAAGAAACGGTTTTTGGAAAATGTTAGATAGGTTTACCGTAAGTTCAGCATAAGCTACCACAGTTATCTATTAGCAATGACTATAAAATAATACAACACCGAAATCTTTCCAATTCTGCAGAAATAGTTCCAGTTATTCTTAGTGTCTCTGTACACGAACATACAGATGATGTAATTTGAATAGAATTAGTTTGAGTTTCAAATTGAGTTAAAACAGATCTAGTCGAAGAAAGTATAATTTGAGTTTCAGACTGAGACATAATAGCTTTTGTTGAATGAGACAAAATAGATTTTGTTAGCGGTGTAATTTGAATAGGATTGGTTTGAGTTTCAAATTGAGATAAAGCAGTTTTAGACAAAATATCCTTTGTTTGAGATGGTTTCCTTGTTGATTTAGGCGATTTTTTCTTTAGTTTAGGTATCATTTTGTCTTCAGAACCTTGATGTTCTATAAAAAATTTCATCATTGCCCATGCCTTCAGACGCTATCATAACAATGTTTTTGATTAAATAACAGAATTTAATATAAAATTTTAATTAAAAAATTCGATTTACCGAAGATGATAATCCGTTTTCTAAAGTAGTCATATTAACTTCTTCATATATCTGTTTTGCAGTACGGCCTGGTCCTCTAGAACCGATTGGCAATCTCTGCATTTCACGTTGCATTATATCTGGATACCATATTCCTAACATCTTTATAATCATATAATAATTAGTAAAACGTTAATCTAACTAATGCAACCATATAACCAGCGGAAATTACATTA